TTCTCTTGAGGCAGAAGGATGAATGGCACACTTTCCTTCTGTTTAATTTGAAGGTGAAACGTCATTCAGTTGTCAGCGCTAGTTTTAACAGATTTTGGCAAAACAGTCCGCACTCGAGGACAAAGTTTACAAGGGATAAAAGAAACCCCTTTCTGAAGCTCAGGTCCGCAAACACCCTCATTGGTGTTTGCGGAAGGGTATTCCATATCCAGTGGTGCAAATGAACCCATCATCTTCCAATGCGGCCCGTTTGGCTCAGTTATACCATGTGGAACAAAACAGTCTTCTGTAATCGGCTGTGTGCCATATCAGCTGCGTATACTACTCAAACATGGTTAAAAGGATGGCACGAGTTTTTATACTAATCACAGAGCACGGTTAACTAAAACCAATGCGATACCGGAAAATTGTCGACACCTATTTGAAAATTGCATGCTCTAAAATGCTTTTTTAAAAATTTTGGTTTCATCGATTTTCTAACAGCTCAGTTCTCTGAATATTAGAGGGAATCGACGCTTTTACCAATGCTCTCCGAGCTTTTGAAATGCATTTTCAAATCGTAATTGATCATCATAAATATGGCCGAAATCTAGGCCGTCGATTGTATCGTCAAAATAAACTTTTAAGCACTTTTCATGCGAGACTAATGTTTTGACACTTTTAACATTATTGAGCCATTTTTTCTAGAAACTGGAAATAATTATTAAATTGATTAGAGAACCTATCTGTTATATGCATACAAGCGAAAGGAGATAATAACAAAAATTTACTGAAGTTTAATTTTTCAAAACTCCCTCTCAGGTACTATTGAAAACCACCTGGAAACATCTGCTGGCTGATAAATATTTCTAAAGCCAGCTCTGTTTGCGTTGTCGTGTTCGATTAAGATTTTACCCCAGAAGGAATCGAAGCTCTTACAAATATTCTTCGAGATTTTGAGATGAATTTCCATGCCACATTATCATAATGGGATATGCCCTAAGTTTTTAAAGTTGTCGATTGTCTGTCAAAATAAACTTTTAAGCACTTTTCATTCAAGCCAATTTTTTTTTTCCTTAATTTCACGTTATTTATTCATCATTTTGTCAATTTTTGGGCATAATCGTTAAACTGATTCGAAAACATATCTGTTATTTATTCTCTCATTTATTTACTTGAACTATTAACGGCTTTGCTCTAGCTTTACTGAGTGCCAACCTACCTTTTGTACTTAAACATTACTTAGATTTACTCAGCTCGATTAGCTTTTTAGTTATTCTGAGTAAATGTTACCTCTTCTGTATTACTAAATTACGTTGTGAATTAAGATTAAATCTTATTCATGGTAAGAAAGCTTGTTGTTGTTGTTGTTGTTCAACTTGCTTCCAAGCGAAAGAAGATAATAGATTTAGCACTGCGTTTACTTGAAGCGGCATGTAAAATAGCCATGTAAAATAGCGTGAACCTGCTGCTTTAGCTTCGTGTGAGCCCACGTCATTGTGGATTTGAAGACGCCCTTGTATGACTCAGGAGGAATAGTTTTGGTGCCCTTTCTTCCGGCAATTAACTCCCACTCTGTGAGAGAGAAAAAGTGAAGAAACTCTTACGTACACGGTAAACGCGAAACAGGTTACTTTCACGTGGAAACGGCAAAGGGCGACCGGCAAACGTGAAAAAATGGCGGGAAAACCAGGTAAAGTTACCACTCTTGCCGTTCACGTTTCACTTAAATGCGGTGCTAAATCTCTCTATCAAGGAAAACCTCCCGTTCAGGTATTATCTAGAACCACCTGGAGACCTCTGCGGGGCTATTTAATAACTCGATCTAAATTCAACCTTCTGCTTGGATTGAGTGTTTACCTCAAAAGTGTAAAGGTAAAATGAATGCTTTTCGCTGTTTGTTTAGTTTTAAGCTTGTATATCCATCCCTTTTCATTTCCAATCCCCTCAATTGTCAATAGTTAACATCAATTTTCCTACATTCTTAAATACTAGCTCCTGGTTCTTTCTTTCTGAGGACGAAATGTGAGACTCTTAAGGTGACACTATACTTTTAGTCAGAGAATAATTTTACTTTTTGAGTTTCAATGAAATTAAGAGCTGGAAGTGTATTTGTTTTACTCATTCTGTCTATAGGCCACACGGCAAACTATATTTCTTTCAGGATTGTTCGTCTATATATTATAATTATACATATAAATATTCATTTTCTATAGATTTCTTTTCTTCTTTTTTTTATTATCCTCTCTTGTGCCCGCCTCGAATAGCCCTTGCTAATTGCGGGCCCAAGCATTGTAATTTTCTACTTAAGCTTAAATAAATTTGTTGTTGTTGTTGTTGTTTTGCTTGTTAGTTTTTGTTTATTCCTGAAATCTTACTTTCAATACCTTGTTTCTTAAGTGATCATCTTCGCATTTGTCATTGTCATCACCTGTTTGCTTGAAAGTTTCTTCAAATTACACATGGAGGGGAGTGAATGAGACTGTTTATTAAGAGGAAGAATTTCGCTCTCTCTCCTAGTACGGCGTAATTTGAGAGCTTTTGATGCCGAAGGATGGATGGCACAGGTTTCCTTCTGTTTTATTTGAAGCCGGCACGTCATTCAGTTGTCACTGCTAGTTTTAAAGAGATTTTAGCAAAACAGTTCGCAGTCATGGGCAAAATCAACAAGGAATTTTAATAATATTGTGTCAGCTATCCTACTTTCATTTGTATCTATAATTACAATTTCACTGTTCGTGAATAACAAAACCAACTTTCCTGTTCACGTGAAACTAGCCTCTTCCTTTCCAATTGCGATTATTTGACATATTTTGTATTTAGAGTTCGAACAAACCGCCTCCCGGTTAGCTCAATGGATAGAGCACTGGACTGTGGTGTGGGAGGTCGAGGTTCGAGCTCCGGCCGGACCAACATTCAGGGTCTTAAAATAATTGAGAAAAATTTGCTGCCTTTCTATCACATCAAGAAATGGTTAGATATTCTAATCTTCTCGGATATGGACGAATAAATAGAGGTACCGTCTCCTGCAGGGTTAGGGTAGGAGACGTTAATTTCCCACACACGGGATTACTGTGTGATGGATGTCCTCCCCTGTGTGGGATGGGTGGGTTTACAGAGGGCCATGTGTTAGAAAACTCTTTACTGGGTTAATCATGCATTTACCCTCTTGAAATAAAGAATTGAACAACGCAATTATTTGGCTGTCGAGTCATATCCCTCAGTTACTGTACAATCTTCCTTGTCTCTAGCTATTTACTCTGTGATAAACAATTGCGCATAATCCTTGTAAACCACCCAGAGGGAATCAGTCATCAACTTGGGCGACGTTTGATGAGCGATTGTAGTTTATTCGAAATGGCCGATTTCTGTTCCAAAACATCTTAAGTAGTATGTCCGAGATGGCATGTCGAATGTCTTTCATCTTCCAGCAGTAAATAACAGGGTTCAAAGATGAATTTGCAAACATCAGAGTCACTGAGTAAAGAAAAAATTGTTTTGAAGCGATGCTCGAGCCATAGATTCGGTCAACAGCAAAGGAGATAAAAATTGGCAAACAACAAATCAAAAGCACGAGATATACGTATAATATACCGACTGTGGATTTAATGAGAATAACAAAATTTTTTATTTCATCAGACTGGGCTTCGTCTCGTATTTGCAAGGACCGAATCTGATTCTTGTGTCGTCGGACAGTTAGATATATCCTGATGTAGACCACAAATGTAAGAATGAAACCGAAAACTGCCGTAACTGAAAGAATAAGACTCTTAGCACTGAGTGACCCCCACAGTGTGATCGAAGAAAGAAATGCACTATAAACCCATAGGCTGATCACCACAATAACAACACGCTTGTGAGTCACAAGCTCTTGGTATCTGAGATGAAGATGAATAGCTAAGAACCTGTCTACACTTATAGCTACAACACCGCCGAACGAAGCAGCTGAGAAGAAACTACTTAAAATGCTCATCATTCGTTGAGTTTGACAGCCAGGATAGTCCAGTTGTAGCCATCTGACTAGAAAGAATGTATACAATGGTTGACCAAATAAACCAACAGCTACATCAGAGCAAGCAAGACTCAGCAGCAGAGTTCTTAAAGTTCTTGCCACTGTTGAGGTTCTGTGTACGGCGTAAATTGTCACAATATTCAGCATGATGGTGGTATAAATTAGTGAGGTATTGAGTATACAGTTGGCGATAAAAGTCGAACGAAGATCTTTAAGTTCGGCGTATATGAGGAAAAATTGAGACTGGTTACAAAACAATTCGTTCATGATTTCAGCTCGCTTATAAAAGGGGAACCTCTGTAATCCTTTGCTAGGAGAGTCTCTTCTTATTTTGGGCAGTGATTCTCAAACTGATTCCACTTCTTGCCTAAAAAATGTCACCTTCCCTCCCAAAAGTGATGACGTTAATCAAAATAAAATCCGCTTCTCATAGTATGAGTTCTTGTGATATATATCAATGACAAAGAAAGAACTTACGTTAGACAAATTAGCGGATGGAGTCGAGATGTTCAATTGTATTCATTGATTAAGTCGACAGTTCTCTCCTGAGGCTTTCTTTTTTATTAAGTATGATATTCGACATGGTGAAACTCTTTTTTTTACCCTATGAGTTCGACACAATATGTTTAACTCAAAAACCTGAGAGTTACCCTTCACCAAGCGGACAAAGGTGATCAAGAAGCGCTCATCCTTTGATTAAATTAAGTTTTGAAATTTTCCAATCTTGGCACAGGCCTAAACCATCTGCAGAGATCTCCGGCCTAATTGTTGAAACAGAGGGCTGATGGTTTTTACGGCTAACCGTCAAAATTTTTGCCATTTAACGGCTAACAGTTAAGGCGAATCTTCAATATAGCATTGCTCATACTGCCCTGTACATTACGGTCACGTAGAATTGTTCGATATTTTTTCTCTGCGGAAAACCTTAATAAGATAGTTTTTTACATCCTATCAGTCATTTTTTATCGCCTGGGGGGATTCAGATGATTTTAATTGTGTCTAGGCTCTCATAGATTGCGCCAGCATAATTCTCGGCATAATTTGGAAACACTAGCATAATTTTCTCTCTTTGCACTCTAGTTAGCATATTTTCATTCATTTTTTCTTCTTTTTTTTTCAGGGAATATTACCAGATACGTGACTTGTTTGGTCTCTAGGACTAATTCTTTTTAAGTTTGGTCCATGGCTCAGTCTATTTTCAGCTTTGTGAGAGTCGTTCGTCGAATGGAGGACTGGGCACTTCAGAAGAAATGATTGCGTCAGTCCCAGCTCTCGCTTTCGAATTCATGAGCAAAAAGATGGCGTCGAAGAGAAATGCGATGCTGATATCGTACAATTTGACACATTAAGTCACCGTTACTGGACTGGAATTAAGTGCAATAGTTAATTGAGTTTTATCAGAGCAACTATGTTACTCAAATAAGAAAGATACCATGCTTTATCAACAATAAATGTATAATTTGAACTTGCTTTGCGTTTCTCTTTTGAAAAGCATCCTAAAGAAAAAGAAACAATTTTGAGCATTATTTGGAAAAAATAATCGGGTAATTCAAGTACCATAATATGCTACTTTTATCAGCACAATCTATAGGGCCTACCTTAGTGTATGAGGATGAAAGACAATGATGCATTAAATTTTCTCGACGCGTTAAACATTGGTTCGCAGCTTGTTCTTACACTTACCTGTACGTATAAGTTAAATTCAAAGAAAACAAACAAATTTAACGCTTTGAACGTGTGCTTAAGATCTGTTTTGGGGCATTTTTTACATCTTCTTTTTTGGGTTAACCTCTGACTGCGGCCGGAGTATTTTGCCAAAGCATCTCTCGTACTAGTTATCATATTATGGTGTGCCACAGTGTAAAATAACACTTAAGGGGGTTGGTTCCACTTTTCATCTTTTTGATTGTCTGTAACTTTGAAAGATTACAACGAAAAGACTGACCAAGGCCAGTTGAACACTTTTACAGGGTCAAATTATATAATCATTGGCTGTCCAAAAATGGGTGTCATTTCGTCACTAGCAGTTTCCATGGCAACGCTTTCAAGGGATTATTCAGACGCATTTTTTAGCTTATGGTTCAAATAATTTGAAAACTAACTCGGTGACCCCGTGATTTTTCTTAGCGATTGCTTTCGGCACTTGAGAAGGAAAATGCACGAAGATTTTAAAAAAAATTCTACGGAGTAGAATTTCAGAAAATCTAGAAAAAGGCAATTTTCACGCATCGCAAATGTCCTTCCGTAGAATTTTCTAGTTTTCTTTTTTTTTTTTTTGACGATTCCTTTCAACGATATTCATAGTTGAACAATAAAAAGAAGGAGTCACCGGACTTGTTTTCATGCAAGAGCTTTCGTTTGTTTAGCAATTCCCACGTTCGTTCTCGCGCATTTAAAAATCTGGATTCTATAAGATCGACATCTCAGTGCTCATGATCTGTTATAGCTACCGCTGACTATCGCGTGTGTTCGCTGCGATCTGATGTCTACAGACGTTTGCGCTGCTAAGAAAATCATTCATTAGCCGTCAGAGACAGCCCCCCCCGGGCTCATCCTAAAGGACCTACTCACAACTTCTGGTTATATTATATCATTTTCCTTGAAGTTTCACAATCTTCTTCCACTTCAGGCAGCTTATCCTTCGCTTGAGTTCTCCTTTTTTCGCCGTCGCAAGATTTCATATCGGTTGGATATTTGGTTTAGATGTGAACCAACCTTTATCTCTCCGAGAGTCGTCTTCTTTATCTTCGTTTCTGTCTCCTGCATACGCAGTGGCCGTTCAACACATCAAATACAGGCGCCAACTCCCGCGCGGTAATACCGCCATCCATCCCTCTCTCTTGGCGCATGCGCAAGATTGACGAAATTATGCAGCTCTCCCTCTCGAATAAACTCGGTGTGCTAATTCTCCTTAGTTCTCAACGCACTTTTAAGCAGACAAGTAATGGGATTTCCAAAAATGATCTCATAAATTTATGGCATTAATAGATTGGTAGCTGGCAACTCGAGGTATCTGAAGGACAATCGAATTTTTGGGTCTTGCATTGAATGTCAACGTGTTAACCGACTGCACGATCCTTGATGGACTCAAAGAAATTCTTCGTTCACGCAGTAATTAGTCAGGTTGAAAACACCAGTGATAAAATCTAGCTGAAAAGGAACGTGTATGATTAATAAAAATGACGATTAATATGCTCTGAAAACAGAAATGGATTTAAGAAGGTCTCATTGGCTTTAAACGGTGAACCATAAAACGGCCAAAACATCCATCCGTTAGGCGTAAAAATTGACAAATTTTAACCGATAGTTGTACGTGAAAAAAATTAACTAAACAAAAAAATTTCTGGCGGCAACAACGGAATGCTATTTTAAAGCTAAATTTTCGCTTGAACAAGCTCAGTAGTCGTACAGTTATGAATGAAAGTAGCTTGCTGTCTTGCTGCAAGCTTTCACACTTCAAATTTCCTTGCATATACATTTAGGGCAATTGCTTGCATAGATTTTTGATACTCGTATTTTGCGCATTTGGGTCGATAGGGTAAATTTTATGTTAATACTACCAAATTTTCGGGCCCGCTCACCCACTCCCAATTCCTTCGCTAACCATCAGCTTCTCGAGTTATATACATGCAATCTCGTCCCCAAGGTGCATTGCGAACGAACGGGAGGCCGTGGAGATTGTTTCAGGGGAAGAGAAATTTTGGGTTCAGTCTTTCGCAACCTCTTTTATTATTCCTTCATCCTCTTACTATGTTTTTCTCATCGGAAATACAAAGTACACTGTACCTGGAATCATTTTTCTTGATTAAATTTTAAAGGGAATCCCTGTTTTGTCTAATTTGACCTGTTTCCGCTTTTCACCAGAAAAAACACCAACGACGTCACAACCGAAACCACAGAAAAGCTGTCGAAAGTGCAAGAACTCGGCTGTTTACACGTAAATAAAGGCTGATAGTTTCGAAAGAAACTGTTTGTTTACACGTAGATAGTTTTACTTCCTTTCAATTCGCCCATTGAGTTGAATTGAATTGAATTGAATCTTTATTAAGGCATAAGATAAATAATCACATATCCTATGTTACAACATTAAAAGAAACTATATATATAAATTACAGAGAAAGTCACGATAAAAATTGTAAGACTAGATTATGTTTAAAAATTAAGCGGTTGACAAACGTGTTTTTGAACATATCAGTGTTTATTTTAGGATGGTGACTTGTCTCTTTCCTCAGATTGTACTTGGTTGATTTCTTTTTTGGCATTATAGCTCTTAAAGGGTGTATTGTATGATTAAAAACATTCTTGAAGATACGTGTGTCTTGTTGATCTAACAATTCATAGACATTAATGTGGTCGGATGTATACTTGCGCTTATAACATCGATCTAAGAAACATTGGATTGTTGTTAATTCGGAATTTACAGCGCCAAATACGGGCAGCCCGTATAATATATTTGGTAGAACCAGATTTAGAAACAGATGGTCTACTTCGGCCTGATTGTACCCTTCTTTCCTTAAAGATCTTAAAATGAACAGGCACTTGTTTGCTTTGATTAGTTTTTCCCGAATATGTGTTATAAACCTACTATCTTCCTGAAATGTTACCCCTAAAATAGTAAGCTCTTTTGTCTGTGGTATTCCAGACACAATCGGAAACTCTATTGTACAACCTTTCTTGCGGAAAATGATTTCCTTGCACTTAGATGGATTGCTACACATACCATTACTTCTAGACCACTGGGAAAACTGATTAATCAGTGCGATAGAATTGTCATTATCACCTATCACAGGCGAGATAATGGTTGTATCATCTGCATATTTTACCAGCACGCTCTTATTGTCCAAGTGTATCTCTAAATCACTGAGAAAGACATTGAACAAGTGCGGCCCGCTGACACTTCCTTGGGTGGTACCTTTGTTGACACTTTTCCATTTTCCAATAAACCCATTTCTAATGACTCTCTGCTGCCTGTCTTCCAAAAAGCTTAGATACCAGTTAACTATAAAAGGATTTAGGGGGAGTTGCTTCAATTTGTGTGANCTCACCGTATATTTTCATTTGTTCTGACCTCACGCCAACGGAGTCACGCCAACGGAGCAACCTCAAGAAGGTTTCATTCATTAGCGATTTTGTATACACTTGAGCTGTCAAACCTTTATCAGCATGTCACAACGTCATTTGAGCGAGAAGGGTCACGGCACTGTCTTTCTTTGTTTGACTTATCAATCGGAGAGCTTTTCAAACAAAAACAAACTCAATAACGTTTTAATCCGAAGCGGCGCGCTAGGGTCCTTGGTTTAACCACTGGAGCCTCATAAATTGAAATCCATTCATCTGGTATTCGGAGAATTTGATCTTTTCAAGAACAGAATTGACAGGAAAGGATCCAGAAGGATTTTTTGTGAGAGATTTGACTGTTGCTGGTGTCACGGAGCAGTGTCCCTGAGTTTTGAAGGAAAGGTGAGATAATCGCGACAATGTCTTAGGTTATGTTATCTGCTTACCGAACAACTCAGTCAAGCGCGAGAGCGAAAACAACTTGCTCGAACCAAGCGGCAAATTATCATTCTGATTTGCGATAACTGTGCAGAATTTCAGTTGATTTCCATAAACTATTCATTTGAGAACGTTTGTCAATTATTTCAATTTTCCACGATGACGAAAGATGGTTTGTCTCTTACTGTTTAGGAATCTGAATTTTGCAGCTGTTTAAGTCTTCTTCCAGTCAGTGGGTAAAAATAGATACTTCTTTTCGAAACAGATATCGAAAACAGTTGTTACAGACAAACAATTTTTGAGATAACTTCTTCTTCGCTATCGTCAATGAACAGATGTTTAAGCGAGCTCTGAAATCTTCAAAATCTTACTTGCGGCAACTTTACGCTAATTTTCTCTACCCGAAGTTCAGATTTTTTCAAACTCGGGAATTCATGAAGTGTTATCTCTTGATTGCGCCAATTATCCATAAATCGCTCAGACTCGAACTTTGCAACTTCGGCAACTTTAGCCAATTTAATGCTGAAAGGATTTTACATTTTGTAAGGTCTTTGTAACAAGTTGGAGAGGTCACAATTAATTATTTCAAAACTTGCAAATTGAGCACGGACAATTAATCACGTTCATTTTCTATCTGACCCAGAAGATCATTGAATTCAAAACATTATGTATTTCGTTCATCTATTCCCCAACACTACTTGTATTTTTGTTGAAAGCATTCTGGTTTGATCGCGTGATCCAGTGAGGTGACGAGTTAGTCTAATTATCGGCGGAAACCGACACCATGTTTGCGTGAGCTTTCAAAGGGTTTTGAAGAATCTTTGATCGAGAAATACAGATAGCACACGAAACTGGAAATATTTAAGCATGGATCGAATTCATCCAATGTCTACTGATGAATTAAATATCATTTGCATCCTTCATAATACAGTCTCATGCAAATTCTGTTTTGTCTCAGCTTAAATATATCTTTATTAATGGTTCGAAAATTTCAAAAAGAAAAAAATATTACCAAACAGAATTGAATGTCGCTATATGCGATCAAACTGTTATTGTAATGTGACCACTATGTTTTTTCCTTTGCCAAAAATATATTCGCCCGAGGCATATATACCTGTTAAGTTTCTCTAAAACACATATAATACATAGAATTGATGCAGATTGTGAGCTGAAAGTTTTCGTTCAAGATGTCACGATACCTCTATTGGCGACTTAACTTTCTTTGGATGAATCTTAAGGTGTAATAAAGTTAGGAACAGACCCCTACTGGGTCATAAAAGTCGTCCAACTCAGTAGAGGTGCAAATCTGGTTTATTTCATGTACGTGTTATGCCCTTCAACCAGCAATATAGTCGACTTTAATTTACTGCTCCAGTTGTTCACAGCATGGCGTGTCAGAACAATGCTAACCGTATATTATTTAATATTTTTTGTCAGGTAAAAGAAACTATATTGTAATCATACAGAGAAGATAAAATTTCAAATTTCTGGGGTTCTTGATTTTATTGTGAATTTTGGTTCTGTCAAAGAATCGAGAAGAAACACTCAACTTTTGGTTTATAATTTCAAAACGTACACGAATTAAAATATTAGAAATTCGTATTTTGGTACGTGATATACAACCGCTGGATGTGATGTGCGCTTTTGACGGATTGTTTGCATCGATATTTCTCTGGCTTAGCTTCTTAACGACCCAATTGCGCACTCAGTCTCTAAAAGTAATATTTTTCAAGGCTCCTATGTTATATTTTAAGTGGTCGTTGTAGGATTTGTTTTGGGTAATTTTTTTGCGAGCCCGCGTTTTATGTGCGCTGACATGCGCGCCTAAATACCCAACTTTTCAAGCAAAGTTTTCAGTCGCGTTGCAAAAACGGCGAAATGAATTCAAAAATGCAACGGAAAGGTATAATTTACCGATATTTCCTTAAGAAGCAGCAGGAGCAGACTTAAAAGTTACTTTTTTTGGCTTATTGTCTTTCAGTTCTTGCAATACAAGCGAAGAAAAAGCGTTACAAGGCGCCGAAAGCACGCATGAGGCCTGAAGATACAAAATCCAAGCCGAAAAGGTGGGCTAACTTTTAGTTTATGCAAGGTGGTGTCATTTTATTGATTTTACAAAGGCCAAAGTTTAAAGGGTTCCCGTTCTCTGTTATGTCTAGGGGGAGTGTGTCTAGTTTTCACGACGACGACTATGAAGTGGACGAGAATTCCGACGATGAAGAGCAAGAAGAACCTGGGGACTATTGCAAAGGTAAGACAGCCTTCCTGAGCGGGTAAAAACTGCACATTGGAAAGGGTTTTACATAAGTTAGCGCTTGATTTCCTTTATGCTAAGGATAAAGATCTTGTTGGAGTATTAAACTGTTGGGTGAAAAACTGGTATTCACTTTTCCGTTGCCGGGAATTTATTTTGTGGTGCGATTTCGAGAGCGAAGCAATCAGCGCGTCGCAAATGACAAGCCAAATGGCAAATTAGTCTCGTGGTGTGTTGAAAACTAGAACATGTAGTTACCTCCAGCTTGACTCGTTTTTAAAAGGTTTGCCAGTAATCGTCTTAGTGCAGTTCAGCTGATTGGAAATTTTTAAGCCAACACAAAAGAAAATTTCGAAGTTATTCAACTGCTTACGAAATGTAGCAATTAAGGAATTGTTTTGGCTTTGTGAAAATGTACATTAGCTTGTACACAATTCAAATGCGCCTTTCGAATAGATCGTCAACTGATTAGACGGAAGTACGAAAGATCGACTGTTAGAAGACATTGTCAAGCCAAACTCGAGTATATAATCCAAAAGGAAGCGTATTTTTCTTTGTTAAACAAAATATATCCATGGATTCTGTTTCTGCGGCATCAGAGGTTTCAGAATAGCTTTGTTTGAGGTTTAAGGGTTGCAATTAGAATTGTGTATACATCAAGCCTACCAAATATCCTTTGAACACAAAAGATTATTTTCATCTGCTTATTAGCTCTCGGTATATAGTCTTAGTTACAGTCTTAGAATGAGAAGATACGCTTCTAAGCTTAAGTTTTTGTTTTACTTTTATATTGTAAAAGGTATCGCTACTCGTTGATTTTTTTTTTTTTTTTAGTTATTTAGCGTTATTGTATACTGTCAACTTCCAGACATATTGCGGTTAAAAAGATAATAGAGAGCTCAAAATATCTAAAGTTCATTGAACGACGTTTTTTTTCATTTTCAAATATTCTGTTATTGTTCTGTTGGTTTATTCATGTATAAAATTCAAAATCGCTTTTGCGTGGGGGGGATCAAATTATATCTGTTCAGTCCTTAAAACACATTTTTGAAGCAGCAAGGATTGATGTTGAAGAATATTCTTTCATCAAAAAGGGGCATGATAATTAACTATAGTTTGCTGAAGTGGAGATATTTACTGAGCTGGAAAGCAGTGAGGTAAATATTCACCATGATGCCAAGGTGAATAATTGTTTTAGTATCTACCACACAGAAACCAAAAAATGATAAATTGATTTCTGCCAATGAATGGTTGGAAATTCAGTTGTTGACGCGCGATTTTGTCTTTTCAGTGGCAAAGAGGCAAATACTACTTGCCAATCACTTCCCAACTACCCAATCAGCTTGTGTAAAAAACACTTGTCACCCATGTGATATATAATTATACTAATGGTTGTTACTGAACTTTAGATAGGAATTCATCCATTTCACCAAGACTTTCATTTAATAGAGACAAGCATTCTCGCTACAGAATGATAAGAACATGTAACTATAACAATGTTGTACGACTGGTTCACACTGGGCCCCTATCGGGCAAATCATATGTAGAGTCCAGGTACCTATCTTGTTATAGGTTTCCGCTCTAAACTTAAGCAATATTTTAAAAGTGGGAATTTGCATTGAAACCTCTTACTATGATTAAGTTTACTTGTAAATGAAACAGCTTTTGTTTTCTACCACGAGAAAATGATACTTTGTACTTCCATAGCTTGAAGCTAATAAATTAAAGAAATATTTACAATAAAACAAAAGAATTTTGATTGAAAGGGAAATGTTATTAATTCTTTCAGGAGGTTACCACCCTGTGCGATTGGGTGACCTGTTCAACAACCGCTACAGTATTATCAGAAAGGTTGGCTGGGGTCACTTTTCAACTGTCTGGCTAGCGTGGGATCTCAAGTGAGTATTTGAAAAACAAAAATGAATTAAAAGGGTGTGTGGAATAATTAAGGCTGTTAGCAATTATTTTTAATACAAGATCAACCTCTCCATGTGTTTTATTAGAGAACAAAATACAATGATTCTTTCACTGCATGGCCGTTTGATGTGAGAATTAAGCATCATCTGTACTCTTATCAACAACAGCAAATTGGCCAATCAAACAATGACATGACTTTATCCACCTTTGCCTTTCCTCCTTTGTCTAATTGCTCCAGGAAATTGAAAAACTCGACTGCACCTCTGTTTGTGTTTCTTATCCAGGAGTAGGCAGTATCAGGCAGGAATGGTTTTTGCTTAATAAACAATCAAACAGAAGATAAAACAAAGAAGTCAGTTTTGAGTGTAGAAACACTTCATGACAGAGGGAAATTATTTACAACAAATTAAATGCCAAAGCTGAAGTTTGGACATGGGAAGTGGGTGGTTGATTCAATGTATGAACTTTTGCAGTTTATATACATCAGAAATCACATGACACTACATGTGAGATTATTATAGTACACAAAAGGTGAGTTCAATAGTTTCAATAGCTTTTTCCATAACCCTTAAAGTCCCATGAGTGATCAAGACATAATTTCTCCTGACAATATCAATACAATATCAAGCAGACACGTGATGAGAATAAAGAAAAATATCAATTAGGGGATTATTACTGACAGTAGGTGATCTAATGCAAATTTCTCCAAAGTAACATCACAAGAATTGCATGGCAGGCAGTGATGAGAATTACTTATAATATCATAGAAGTGGAAGGGATTAAAACAGCTACCAATGGTGTTATAGGTGGCCATGCCTGGAATAGGCAAAAGTGTATCGTGAAAATTAAACCTGAGAGTCCGCTTGGCAGGGGGGAGGGAAATAAAGGGGGTGATTTATAAGAGGGGGTGGGCTGCTGCTGACCAACTGTCATTGAAACCTCTGCTAATTGTTAGGGAAGCTAGATGAAACGTGGGGGGAGGGGCCGGGGGGGGGGTTAAAATTAGGATGGACTAGTATCTCACCAAGTGATGCTTGTAGCCATTTCAAAGGATAGAAACTGGTAGAATTTCTGACTGGATGTACCAATTGGCTCAATTAAAGACTTTGTCTAGCTTTAACTTCTTAACCGTCCGATCCCTTAGAGTGACTAGCATCTAAGGAAATGTGAAGAGCCTCTGTGTGGAAAATATGCATAGTTTTGGGTGTAAAGGAATAAATTTATAGTTTTTTGGTTGTTACATGCTGTTTATACATGTTACACCATTATATTTTTTAATTTCCCAGAGACCGGCGGTTCGTGGCATTGAAGATAGTGAAAAGTGCTTCACATTATACTGAGACAGCTATTGATGAAATGAAACTTTTAAGAACAGTAAGATCAAAACTTTTTTGTTTGTTTTGTTTTTTGTTTTGTTTTGTTTTTTCTGGGTATCATGTACAAAGTCTGACTGAATTGGTAGTACTGATTCTTGTTGGTGTAAGCAGAAATAATTCTATGTATTATGGTGTTTTCTATGTATTGAGCATTTTGGCAATGCTCTTCATCAGTTATCAGTAGGGTAAAATATTTGCATGAGCCTTATATGCTTTGAATTTAATTTTTCAAGCACCAGAATTCTGTGAAAAGACTTTCCAATTAATTTATCAACCCTTTTTTGTGTAGGTCCACACGGCGGATTTGACCCACACTGGATATAAACATGTGGTACAACTAACGGATGACTTCAAAATTGTAGGAATAAATGGCTCACGTATCCTTTATTCTAGAACCATGTCCTGGGAAAATCTGTCCCTCTGTCTCCCGTACTGCACCTTTAAATCTGGGCACCAAAATGATCAGTAAACGCATGATTATTTCCAAACCCTCAAGGCAATCATGATGAGCAGAAGAAAAAAAATTTGGGAACTAAATTTTCTGTAAAAGCTGCCAGTTAATTTTATCCCTCAGTATCTGGTGGTCATCATCAAGGCTTGGCACTAAGAAAAATTGAAGGGAGTCCAGTCCTCTGAAACTATGAAATCCAGGGTGCCTAGCATATGCTTTTTATGAAAAAACTAAGATTCCTGAGTCGCCCAAGAGCAAAAGTAAGGCGCCACCCTTGCGAAATGGTTTCCTAACTTTCTAGGATTCCTAGGAATTTCCTAGGAGTAAGTGGAATTTTCCTAAAAAAAATTTAAGCTCTGTAGAGGTGTGAACAAACATTACTAGGTTCCTAAGAATTTCCTAGGAAATTCCCAGGAATGATTACAGGTAGAATTTACATAAAAAAAAAAAAAAAAGATTCTTAATCCTTGGGAAATTATTAGGAATTTACTAGGAAAAATGATCTTTTAAAATAAACCCTTGATTCTTAAGAATTATACTCGTGAGTTTGTTTTTTGAGAAAAAAAATGCCATTTTAGATCTTTAAAAAAGTCACTACTTGCAATATACCATAACATTTTTTTTTATTTTGTGTTATAATTTATAACTCATTAATTTTACAGCAGATACTCTTGAAGCTTATAAAATTTCCAATAAAACATTAATTTTTTTATCCTTCAACTGCATATCACAATAAATAGAAATAAAAAATTACAGGAGTAAAGAATACAATGAGAAAACTAAATCAAATGCAATTTAAGTGGGATTTTTGCTCCATGTGTTTGGTGCTCTGAGGGGCCACCTGGCCCTTGGGCCAACGGGCCTCCGGGTGCTGCTAGACCACAGCCCTGATCATTGTCGTATCTTAATTAACCCCTTAACTCCCAGAAGTGATTAACATGTAACTTCTCCCTATAATATCTCTGCATTATTTAACAAATGGGTAATGAGAATAATTAAACTTATCAGGTAGAAGTTGTTAACCATGATCTAACACCAAATTCTTACAGCCATTGTACAAGGAAATAATGTGTCGCAGCTAGCTATAAAGGGGAGAATCAATCAGATCTTGGGCGACCAAAATCTCATTTCTGCAACCTTTTGATGATTTCTGGTTGCCATTTGGCAACTTTGAGAGAGGTCTATCTGGGAATCCTTTACAACTCCMAGTGGTTCAGTCTCGTATCCCAAGTCTTTTTAGCTCTTTAACTCCAGGTCTTAAGTTGGCATCTAATTTTTCCATGCATTATCACCTCTGCATAACACCTTTTGTCCTGAGAATAAAGGAAATGATTGACTGACAAAAGAAGCAGAAATTTCATTAATTTCGGAAGTAGGTGTATACAAGGACAGAAGTAGGTGGAATTAGACAGTTCAGTGGTAATCAAGGCAGAATTGTCACCAGTCTTTCTCTTCTGTCTATTCAACATAGTCAGGGCATAAAATTAACTTTTTTTTCCGGTAGCCACTTGGCTCCTAAATATTTTAAGGTGGTAGCCAATTCCAAAAAGTTGGTGGCCATTATGACACACACACACACACAAAAATTTTTACCCTGTCACTGTACTAGATTTATGTCATAGTGATACAGTCATACAAACATCAGAAATGAGCCCGCTAAATTCACACGAGCTACAAAGAGGACACTAGAATGGATCATATACAACTTTATAAGTTACCTAAATCCAAGATGGCGTCTAGTGACGGAAGATTTATGGTCGACATCGTGCATGTGCTGCGTTTTGGAAACGAGCTTAATGAGGAACTTTGCTGCAGATTTATCTTATCAAATCTTCGACAATCACTAGATCTCTAGCTAAGGTGTGATTAGAAATTCTAGTCGCCAATTTGGCGACTAATTTTCAGGATTTGGTCGCCAAAGTGAAAAATTTAGTCGCATTGGCGCCTGTATTAGGGGCAATTTTATGCCCTGAATTGGTGCGTAGTGAACTGATCGTGTTGTTGATTGAATTTTCAGAACTTGTTAGGAAAATCACCCATCAACCAAAAAGGAGACAAAATTGTAACCAAAAAAAAACACCTTTATTGATGACTGCCTTTAGAATGTATTGAATGTTTTCCAAAAAAACATGCAAAAACCAGGGGGTGAAATGGCCATAGTAGCTGCATGGCTCCATTGTGGAGAGTAGCCACTGTTTGCTGGCTTCTAATGAAATCCCTGAAGATTAGCTGTTGATCTTTAAACAAAGTCCCTTTTTGGGCACCTTAGCAAATGTATAGAGAACAGTATGGAGAATTAGCATATTGATGTCAAGGTGGAAAGGATTAAATGAGGATTTTTCCACATTTCCATAATTTTATACCATTCTTTGACTGATACATAACAGATATATGTATGGTTTTTGAAGTGCTAGGTCATAACTTGTTGAAATTGATAATCAAATCCAGCTACAAGGGTATACCTTTAGTGCAAGTGAAGAGTATCATAAAACAGGTAATGTTTAACTCAATCTATTGTGTTGAAGTTGAATTGTTTGAATTTCTCTCCATGTTATTCCTTTGGGATGTGGATTGCCATGTTTCAACTGAATACTGTAACAGTATGCCGGGATACATTCATATAGGGCTCAACACTAATTTTTAACTTACTAGCCAAGTGGCTAGTGACATCTTAGATGTTACAACAATTTCTGTTTGTTTATTCGCTAAACTAGCTGACTTGTGGAAATTGAAAACCAATAGCCCAGCAAAACTGAATTTCTACCTAGTCTGGCTACCGTTATTGTCAAGCCCTGTTCCTGCATTCGTGCATTTATGTTTCACTGTCACAATTGTAAAAATTTTATTAGAACATCAGTGAGCAGACACACTAGGCTGTGTGTCTTTTTCTTATTTTTTGCTATTACCACAATATGACGCCATCTGGGATCTCAGTGTTGCTGAATAGATGCACAGGAATATGGAACTAATTACTTCATTTGTTATCTCTGTGTTGTGAAAGAGGGATGTTTGTAAAATTATTGTCACAAGCATTGGTAAAAGAAAGCAAAGTCTTCTGTTAGTGGTTCCCAAAGAATCACACCCCAGATTGTTGATCATTTAATTAGAATGTTGCCAAGTAAACCTTTACTGTTACACATCATGTTTATACCTTGAAAGTTAAAAAAAAAAACACAGCAATTATTGGTTGTTTCATCTCTGTATTTTGCAGACATTAGAAGGCCTAGACTATCTGCACTCGAAATGTAAAATAATTCACACAGATATCAAACCAGAAAATATCTTACTCTGTGTGAGCGAAAAATACATTCAACAACTGGCCGCGGAGGCTGCAGCAGCGAGGGCATCAGGGCTGTACTCTCCTGCACTTAGTAAGTACAAAGAGATCATCAAGTTAGGCTCTGTTCACAATTGGTGCTCGAGCATGGTGCCAAATACAATTCTTGATGGCCACTAATGGTACACACCTTTTTTTCAAGTACCCCTGCTAGAATGTGGGCACACTCACAGAATCGGGCACTGATGTATCAGGTACCTAGTGTCTGAACACAGCATCATTTTGTGTTGGTGCCCTCAGGCTCAGGTGCTAATGCTTGGGCACCAATTGTGAGCACAGCCTTAGGATTGAAATTTAACTGTCTCGTAACTTTTTCATTCTTAGTAGTGATGTGAAAGTAATTTGTCATTACAATAAAATTACCTGTGCACTGTCATGCAGATGACAAGAGCAAAGAAGAGTACAAGGGATCTTGATTGATTTAAGCCAATATTCTCAAGACCAATATTATAGGGGAATTAGAAAGAATTGATCTCTTGATCCTTTAATATTTAAGAGTGACTAGCATCTTATTTCTCTTTACTATGTCACCCTTGAATCAAACTTTGAGTTTGTGAGAATAAAGGAAATGATTACTCACAGAAGAAGCAGTTGATTCTGAACTAAATTCTTGTCAGTGTCATAGAAAATGGTTAAAGAACAGTGTGGAGAGTACACAGGCTGATTTTAGGGTATTAAGGGTCAAATTAAAGGGGCGCTGACATGTTAGTACACATGCTGATTTTAGGGTATTAAGGGTCAAATTAAAGGGGTGCTGACATGTTAGAACTAATGCACATGCTATGGAAACCTTAGATATTAAATGGGGAAAACTATTTTGTTTTTTATACTGTTTTCTAAAGGTTAGCTGTTCCATTTTAGGAATATTCTGCCGTCATTGTTAACCATTCAAAAAGATTAGTAGTACATGTATTCCTTGGTTCTTAGCAATATCAATTCTTTTTTTTTACTTTTTCCAGTCAGTACAGCTCCTCTTTCAGTGATGCAGGTGTGTAGCAAACCTTTTTTATTATTATTTTTAAGCTTAACACATTTTTTAAACAAGGATAATTTTTTAATTATTTCCACCTCATAACAGACAACCAGCAGGCTGAGCAGATTTCTGTGATATTGACATGAAACAAAATAAGTCCTGATAACATGAAGTCCCTGCGTGGGTCCTAATAATTAATTTTTATGCTTTGAATGAAAAAAATGAGTTGATGCAGTTGGCTGAAATTTCACTTGAAGAGACTAGTTTTTTTACTGATTAGTCAGGCATTTCAATGAGACAATAGCTTTCTGTATTGAACCATACAGTCATGTAGTTAGTGAGCAACCTCAGAGGTGACCATTGGGCTTTACTAAGCAATCATGACTGGCCAGTAATCTAGTCGTTGACCACTCTTTTTTTTTTTTTTCATATGGCAAATTTTACTGGCAGCTGGCACTGGATGACTACCTGGAATCTTTGTCCTTGTAACGGGTCTTGTGAAGGAATAGTTTGTGCCCAAAGAGAAAGTAAAAGAGGGTGGAAGGAGTGTGAGCAAAAACTCAATCCTTTAGTGTAGAACAGTTGACCTGTGAAACAAACAGAAGAGATTTAATAAAAAAAATTATATATATACGAACTAATCAAATGAAGCCTTACACTGCTGTAAAAAGTAAAATGTTTTTTTAAAATCTGAGCTTTCACCGATCAACAGCATCATCAAGGTTCAGAAAATATTCCGGACGCGCTATATATATGTAAAAAGAGTGTGTGTTGGAATGTGTAAAGGATGTGACTTGTAATGTATGAAAAGCAGTTCACAGTTCATTTCTACAGCTTTCATACATAGTCACATCTTTTACACATTCCACCACACACTCTTTTTACATAATTATATATATAAGTGCGCCTGGAATATTTTCTTATCCCTGATGATGCTGTTGATCAGCAAACGTTCAGATTTTTGAAAAAAACATTTTACTTTTTACAGCAGTGTAAGGCTTCATTTGATTAGTTTGTATATATTTTAACAATGCTGCTGAAGGACAACATGAACAGATTATTAAGAAGAGATTGTCATTAAACCTCAGTTTTGTGGAGGAATAGGCTGTGCCCAAAGAGAAAGGAAAAGAGGGAGAAGGGTGTCTACATGTTTTTCATCTTGATGGTACAAATGTTTTCTTTATTTCACAGCAATGCACCTCAACAAAAATTTCAAAGAATAAGAAAAAGAAGATGAAGAAAAAGTTAAAGAAGCAGATTGAGAAGCAACAACAACATCAGGATGAAATTGAGCAAGGGATGCTAGAGGAAAACGAAGAAGCTTCAGACAAGGAGGCAGAAACATGTAGCAATAGCATGGAAAATTGTCTGGAAAATTCCACTAACTGTGAACAAAATGATAATGAACTTGAATCGAATCAGCTGCAGGAAGAGACTGTACAAAATCTTGTTGATGATCAATCAATTGAAAATTCTGAAGATTTAAGCGAACATGCGCTTCAAGAAAAATGTGTGGTCACCAATGATGATATGTCAGTGACAGAGGAGCAGAATGAACCAGGTACAAGTCAAGTAAATATAATTATTAGACGTTTTGTTGTGTAGCATCGCTGAGTTTTTTTATGAGTTGTGCCGTATTTTGATGAGCCCCAGTAGGGCCAGTCAAAATACAAACAATGAGTATAGATACTCAGCGATACTACACAACAAAACGTCTAATAAGAGATTTATTTTCCAACATGCCAAATTGTTAATATTTCAGTGTGACCAAATTTTGCGGATATTTCTGGAGTACTGAAACATCGCGTGATAACTCCTCTCACGCGTTAATTGTACTCGACAAAGCACAATTGGATAATAATAATGGATATTTTCTATTTGTCTTACTTTTATGTCAAAGGATTTACTCAGAACAATAACACCTTCAGTTTTTATTAAATATCTGTAAGAGTCTGTTTATACGAGCCAAGTGGCCCATCAGACCGGTGCCTAACTCAAGGTTGCATAGCATGAAGCAACTAGGAAAGTATTTCTACTTCCCCCAGGCAGGATGGGATGCTAATTGATGGCACTGCATGAGGTTTACCCCCCAGTATTAAATTCACCAGTAACCATTAAACACCTGGGTGAAGAGACGCACTGTGAGAATTAAGTGTCTTACCCAAGAACATAACGCAATGTCTCTGGCCAGGGTTCCAACCTGGACCACTTGAGCTGTAGTCAAGGGCACTTACCATGAGGCCCCTGCACCTTGCACAATGTTCAGTCTTTGCTTGTGAAAAATCTGTTCTGAACTTATGCACAGCCCTCTTCCTTGCAATTTATGAATTGCTTGATGGATGTGTGAGGAAAGGCAGGAAATGAATGTGTCAAATTCTTTGATGAGCAGTCCTGTTCAATAATTTATACTGTCCATGGATGTCTGTGTTGCAAATAGCTGGACAATCCATGTGCTGTTGATGGTAAAACAAATTTTCCTGATCAGAACCATGGGAAGTGCTTAGAAAAAATTCTTATCGATGGCAGGGTGTCAAATATTAACCATTTTAATCCCCAAGATTGATTAGTATCTATTTTCTCCATACGACATCATCCCTGAATCACATTTAACCCTTAATCTTCAAGAAGTGATGAACATGTAACTTCTCCTCACAATATCCATACATTATGTAGCAAACAGGTGATGAGAATATTCAACTTATCAAGTGTAGGTTATCTCAGTCTAACACCAAATTCTGTTAACAAACTAACAAGGAAATATGTAGCAGCTAGAGGGGAGAATTAACTATCAGATCTAACTGCCTGGCTCCCGGTTAGCTCAATGGATAGAGCACTGGACTGTTGTGCGGGAGGTCGAGGGTTTGAGCCCCGGCCAGACCAACACTCAAGGTCTTAAAAATAATTGAGAAGAATGTGCTGCCTTTCTATAACATCAAGAAATGGTTAGATATTCTAGTCTTCTCGGATAGGGACGAATAAATGAAGGTCCCGTCTCCTGCAGGGTTAGGGGTAGGAGACGTTAATTTCCTATGCACAAGATTACTGTGTGATGGATGTCCTCCCCTGGGGTGGGATGGGTGAGATTACTGGGCCCGCAGTAATTGGTGCAAGCTGTTGCGGTGTCCCTGCCGGTTGGCGAAGCTAAATAAACAAAATAAACCAAATCAGTTTGATATTAAAAGAACCGATCTCATCACTGTTCGCCAATCTTCCTTAAAGAAAACCTAGGCACACGAAAAGAGGACGGATGTTTTTCATTATCAGTGAGCAANCTTGGGAGTTAAAGGGTGGAAGACAAGAGAGTAGAGAAAATGATCACCAATTGAAGAAGCTCTTGATTGTTAAAGAAATTCTACTTGTCAGCACCTCAGGAAATGTATAGGGAACAGTATAGGGAATATGCATGCTGATGTTAGGGTGTCAAGGGTTAAGAAAACATAACTACTGCTTTTCATTATGAAAAGGATAACTGTGCTACTTGCTTATAGATGTTCCACTTTGCAATGGTGATGCACAAGATAGCAAAAGTGTAGACATGGAGTCTTTACCAGAGGAGAAAGGTACATGAGATAAAAGTTATGTTTATTTTGTAATCTTTAAAGGCATGGTAGCTCATATAATGTTGCACTAATTATCAATTTTATTCTTTTTTTTTCTCTAGTGGCTCAAATATTGAATTATTTGGTTGCTGAATAGCTACCTAAACAAAGCTGAGCTTTTACAGGGCTCTACAGCAACGGTAGCCCACTAGCTACAGACCAGTAGAAATTTAGTTTTGGGCAGTGGTTTTTTATTTCCATTAGCCATTTTTGCTAGCAAAGAAACTGAAACTGTCGTAGCATCTAAGATGTCCCTAGCCATGTGGCTAGTAAGTTTAAAAGTTAGTGTTGAGTCCTGTTTGAGCCTCAACACTTTGACCCCCAAGAGTAAATAACATCTAATTTCTTCCTAAAATATCACCCCTGAATCACACATCAAGGTCAGGAGAATAAAGGAAATGATCACTAAGTAAAGAAGCTTGTTTACCAATTTCTCCATGTTAGCAGCTTAGGAAATGTATAGAGAACAGTATGGGGAATATACATACTGATGTTAGGGTAGAGAGGGTTTGGTATGAAATCTGCCATTGTGATAGTCGTGATAGGAGATTCCAGGGCTAAAAATTAACTTCAGAGCCTGGTGGCCAGTCGCGCCAGTTTCCAAGAATTCTTAGAGGCCCATCCCAAAATGAAGTAGCCCACGATTTCCTCTAATAGCGTGTTCTTCGAAACCATCCCGCTCGGAACTCTGGGTAAGTCCTGGCCACGTGGCAATCACAAAGTCAAAATGGCGTCCATATGTTGTGAATGTGGATCGTTCGTCAAATCACTGTTGAAACGGCTCGGAATGTCCACTTCAGAACTAAAAATTCACTAAAATGGATGATCTTAAAGTCCAGGCAAAGAAAAAAAGAGAAAGGTAGTCCGATTAAACTATCTACTGAGTTTTATTTTTAACTTTGAACATCGCAACTTTTCTAAATTCTGTAGCAGAGTCGCACATCGGGCGTTCAGACCTCAACTTTTGGTGTCCACAGTCAGTTTTAACTCGTCACTGGCGACCGTGCAACCGCCAATTTTTTTCCCTGGGATATTACTACATGCTCCCAATGGTTTTTTTTTTTTTTTTTAGCGGCACCCGGGGAGAGTTGTGTTGATGAAATTTGTCCCGAAGAAGTGGCTGCGGAACTAGAGGAAGATGACGACTCTATTAAAGTGAAAATTGCTGATCTGGGGAATGCATGTTGGATTGTAAGTTAGCATTACTTGTACACAAGGTAGCAACAACCCTGGTCAATATTAGCGAGGACACTTTCAATATCAGATAATCCTTATCCTGTAAGGCCTTCTAGGGCTGTAGTCTAGCAGTGCTCGGTGTCCCCTGGCGCCTTACTTTTGCTCTTGAGCGACTCAGGAATCTTAGTATTTTCTTAAAAAGCATATGCTGCTTCGGCTCCCTGGATTTGTCACGTTTTCAATATTTCTTAGAGCAAAGCCTTGCCTTCATGAAAAAAGTGCTTTATTTATTTGAAAAATCATTCTCATGAAAGTATACCAAACTGTCCTCCCCCACCTCCCCGCCCTCTCCCAAGTATCAATTGGCACAGCTGCAGCTCTTCTGATAGTGTGAAGGATCCTTTTAACATTTTAACCCCCAGAAGTGATTAACAATTTGTTCTCTTATTTATTTATTTATTTATTTATTTATTTTTTTTTTTTTAGCATCATCATTTTACAGAAGAAATTCAAACAAGGCAATACCGTAGCCTTGAAGTTTTAATTGGAGCTGGTTATGGCCCACCAGCTGATATGTGGAGCACAGCTTGTATGGTGAGAAAATAAATACAATACCTAAAGTAGCCTTAATGGGAGACAAGACTGATTATATGCTCCTACTATTACTTTACATCTGCCTCATCAAACTTTGTATTAAAGGCCCATTTCCATCCGAGATGCCTTGCACGCCCGGATCATTTTTCATATATGAAAAATACGCTATTTTCCTCGCAGTTGCGGAATCGCATTGATATTTTCTTCCATCTTACTAATTAAGGCTTTCAAAGTTCCATCTTGATTCATGTGCCAACAACAAACTATGGTAGTATCCATATCAGTAAATAGTTTTGAATTCTTACATATATGACGGTGAAAAAGGTCATTTGAAAAG